AAAAATTTTTTAGAATGATTAATTCAGTATTCTAAGTGTTCATATATTACTTCCCTGGGCTTGTTTGTTAAAAACTTCTAAATATTATGTACTCAGAGAATTCATGTCTCATCTCTGACAGCTACCCAACTTTCATTCATTTTCTTTTGTAAAATAGATTATTTTGAAACTTACCAACTGAGGTCAAAGGGTAGTTTGTTTCATCTGGGTGATGAATTATAAACATTTAAAAAGATGGTACAGTGAAGAGTAGAAAAAGCAGGAAGAATTCGTACTTACAACACAACGCAAAATTCTATGATGCAGAAGCTGAATTTGAAGAATTACTTCCTCTGAACTTTTTCTTATGTGTTCTAGCTACATCTGGCTGCAGGGAAGAGAGGGATATATGACCTTTGTTACAGATGGTCCTATGCCCAAGTAAAAATAAAAGGTTTATTAACATGGAAGAAAAGAAGACCAAATTTCATGGTTGGTAGCTCACAGCCTCTGTTACATTGGGCCAACCATTTAACTTTTGTGGTCTGTTTTCTCATCTTATAAATAATATCTTTGTTGTCCACCTTACTCAGTTATTACAATATCAAATGTGTCAGTGTGAAAGCACTTTGTAAACTGTAAAATGTGTAACTTTTAATTCTAGAAATCACATGGTATATAGAAAATTTGATTTATTCGTAAAGATCAGTTCAGTTCAGTTCAGTTGCTCAGTTGTGTCCGACTCTTTGCGACCCCATGGACTGCAGCACACCAGGCCTCCCTGTCTATCATCAACTCCCAGAGTTTACTCAAACTCACGTCCATTGAGTCGGAGATGCCATCCAACCATCTCATCCTCTGTCATCCCCTTCTCCCCCACGCCTTCAATCTTTCCCAGCATCAGGGTCTTTTCCAATGAGTCAGTTCTTCCCATCAGGTGGCCAAAGTATTGGAATTTCATCTTCAACATCAGTCCTTCCAATGAATATTCAGGACTGATTTCCTTAGCATTGACTGGTTGGATCTCCTTGCAGTCTAAGGGACTCTCAAGAGCCTTCTCTAACAGCACAGTGCAAAATCTTCAATTCTTTGGTGCTCAGCTTTCTTTATAGTCCAACTCTAACATCCATACGTGACTATTGGAAAAACCATAGCTTTGACTACACGGACATTTGTTGGCAAAGTAATGTCTCTGCGTTTTAATATGCTGTCTAGGTTGGTCATAACTTCCCTTCCAATGAGCAGGCGTCTTTTAATTTCATGGCTGCAGTCACCATCTGCAGTGATTTTGGAGCCCAAGAAAATGAAGTCTGTCACTGTTTCCAATGTTTCCCCATCTATTTGCCAGGAAGTGATGGGACCAGATGCCATGATCTTAAGTTTTCTGAATGTTGAATTTTAAGCCAACTTTTTTAGTCTCCTCTTTCACTTCCATCAGGAGGCTCTTTAGTTCTTCACTTTCTGCCCTCAGGGTGGTGTCATCTGCATATCTGAGGTTATTGATATTTCTCCTGGCAATCTTGATTCCAGCTTGTGCTTCATGCAGCCCAGCGTTTCTCATGATGTACTCTGCATATAAGTTAAATAGGCAGGGTGACAATGTACAGCCTTTACATACCCCTTTTCCTATTTGGAACCAATCTGTTGTTCCATGTCCAGTTCTAACTGTTGCTTCCTGACCTGCATACAGATTTCTCAAGAGGCAGGTCATATCATATAAAATAACTGCTAGCAATTTACCCAGAGTTAACTACTGTTAATATTTTGATGTATTTATTTCAGTTTTATATTTATAGTTTTGTAAACTAATTTTTGTGACTTTATTGAAATGTAATTCATATACCATTCAGTTCACCCATTTGAAGTGTACCCAATTCAGTGTGTGTTTTTTTTTTTTTAAATTCAGTGGTTTTTGATATAGTTGTGCAACTACACAGTCAATTTCAGAATATTTTCAAATATTTCAATATTTCAATTTCAAAAAGAAGCTATGTACCCATTAGCATTTACTTACCATTTTCCTACAACCATTCCTCTCCATTAGCTCTAGGCATCCACCATTCTTTCTGTCTGTATAGATTTGCCTATTCTGGACATTCCACATAAATGTAATTCTGCATTATATGGTCTTTTGTGACTGGCTTCTTTCACTTAGTATAATGTTTTTGAGATCCATCTGTGATTCCATAATACAATGGAATAGTATTTCATTGTGTAAGTATACCATATTTTGTTTATCCATTCATAAGTCGATGATATTAGGCCATTTCCACTTTTCATCTATTATGAATAAAGCCTTTGTAAACATTTATGTTCAAGTTTTGTGTAACTTACATTTTCATTTCTCTTAAGTATATATTTAGTGGAATTGCAAGGTTATATGGCAATTGCTAGATTTTTTAAACCTTTTAGTTTATTTGTTCTTGGCTGTGCTGGGTCTTTATTGCTGTGTGGGCTTTTCTCTAGTTGTGGAGAGCAGGGGCTACTCTCCAGTTGTAGTGCCTGGGCTTCTCATTATGGTGGTTCTCTTGTTGCAGGCTGTACGGTGCACGGGCTTCAGTAGTTGTGGTATGTGGGCTCAGTAGTTGCGTCTCCTGGGCTCTAATGGGCGGGCTGAATCGGTGTGGTGCATGGGCTTGGTTGCATGTGGGATCTTCCCAGATCAGGGATTGAACCTGTGTCTCCTGCATTGGCAGGAGTCTTCACCACTGAGCCACCAGGGAAGCCCCTGCTAGATTGTTTTCCAAAGTGGCTATACCGTTTTACATTTCCACTGGCAGGGTATGAGAGTTCCAGTTACTTCACTTCTTCACCAACACTTGTTTTTATCTGTCTTTTGGTTATAGCCTTAATAGGAAGTGTGAGATATTACTTCGTTGTGATTTTTATTTGCAGTTTTCTGATAACTAATGATGTTGAATGTCTTTCATGTGACTCTTGGTCATTTGTATTTCTTTGGAGAAATGTCTATTTATACCTTTGCCGGTCTTTGAGTTGTCTTTTTATAATTGAGTTGTAAGAATTATTTGTGTAGTCTAGATACAAATCCCTTAACAGATACATGATTTTCAAATATTTTCTCCCATTTTTTGGGTTTTCTTTTCATTTTCTTGATGATGACTTTTGATGCAAAAGTTTTTTTGTTTTTATGAAGTCCAGTTTATCTGCTTTTTTCTTTGGTTGTTTGTGCTTTTGTTATCATGTCTAAGAAGTCACTCACCAATTCAAATCCAGGAAGGATTATACCAGTGTTTTCTTCTAAGAACCTAATAGTTTTAACTTTTACCTTTGGGCCTTTGATCCATTTTGAGTTAATTTTTATATGTGCTATGTGGAAGGACCCCATGTTCATCCTTTTGCATGTAGATGTCCAGTTATCCCAGCACTGTTTGTTGAAAAGCCTATTTTTTCCCCATTGAATTATCTTGACAGCCTTGTTTAAGTCAACTGATCATAAATATAAGAGTTTATTTCTGATCTTTCAATTCTATCTCATTGATTTATGTGTCTGTTTTTATGCCAGTACCATACTGCTTTGTTTACTGTAGTTTTATAGTAAGCTTTAAAACTGACAAGTGTGAGTCTTCCAACTTTGTTGTTCTTTTCAGAGATTGTTTCGGTTATTCTAGGTCCATTGTATTTCCATATGAATTTTAGGTCAGTTTGTTAATTTCTGCAAAAAAAGAAGCTGGAATTTTTTAGGGATTGTACTGAATATAGATCAATTTAAAAATATTGTCTTCTGATCCATGAATATGAATGGATCAGAATGAATGGATGACTTTTATCAGGTTGAGGAAGTTCTATAAACTATGTATTTTTAAAAACTTACCTTGTATTATGAATATTTTTGTATTTGCATAATATATCTTTGAACTATAATTTTTAATGGCAGCATATTATTCAGCCATTAAAATGTCACATGTGTAGTATCAGTTTAATATGGTTAAGAGTTGTGTTCCTGAGTCATATTTTTTTTTTAAGATATTTTTATTTATTTATTTGGCTGCATCAGGTCTTCGTTGTGGCAGGGATCGAACCTGGGTCGCCTGCATTGGGAGCTCGGAGTCTTATCCACTGGACCACCAGAGAAGTCCCCCTAAGTCAGTTTTTAATTTGAAGTTACACTTTGTCAGTTATTGTGTGTAGAATACTTAGATGTTACTTTTCTGAGCCAGTTTTCAGTTATACAAAAGTGAAAATAATGCTTCACTACTTAGTAAAGTAGGGGTGAGGAATGACTGAAATAATGGATAGTTTATATTAAACTCAGCAGAGTCATACAGAAAGCACCTAATGGATGGTAGCTGCTATAATTATATTTTAGTTATATTACTGTTATTGGGGACCTTAAAGAGTGTTTATTTCTGTAATCAAAACCCTTATACTTAAATCTTTGTGCTTATTTGATTAGTTCTGTATTCCTCAGATTGGAATAACAGCGTTAACCTTTTTCTTTTTTGAGGGTAACACCTGTAGCACATTCTTTCCTCCAAATAAACTGATCATATTTGAATTGTTAGGTTGGGATGGGAGTTTTGTGGGAGATCAAGTTGGAAAGTAAATTGGGGCTAGATTTTGGAAGGACTCGGGCATCATCAGTTTAATGATCGGTAAGATTTTTTTCTTTTGTGTTCAGGCCCATGCATCCCACTGATGTTTTGAGCAGTAGAGTGTCCTGGGATGGTAATTTAGGAAGATTACTCTGCTGTGCCATCTTCCCTAACCATCCTTGACTGATTAGGATACCTTGCTGTATGTTTACATGACTACCCAATATATCCTATACTATAGTATTTAATAGACTTTTAGTAAAAATGTGTTTAAATGTTTCTCTTCTCCTGCTTCTTGAGAACATGGATCATATGTTGTATTCCCACTGCCTAACATGGTATCTTGCACATGGTAGACACTTGAATAAAAGTACTTGTTGAACAAGTAAATGAATCTTTTGTTCTCTGCTTTTCTGGAAACTAACTTGTTGGCTTTGGTTTTCCCTTTGTTTCTTCCTGGGATCCAAGGAGGAGGCATCTCCTTATTCCTTACTTGATATCTGCTTGAATTTCCTGACTACTCACCTTGAGAAGTTCTGCTCAGCAAGACAAGATGGAACATTGTGTCTGCAGGAACCTGGAGTATTCCCACAGGAGGTGGCTGATCGGCTACTTCAGACCATGGCTTTTCATGGTAATAAAATAAACAGAGGAAACAAAAATTATGACCTTTTAATTAGCATTGGATTTTGAAGTACTGCTGTGGCCATTTGATTATTTTCATAGAAATAACAGAAAAGCCTAATTGAGGAAAAAGGATTTCATTTATTTTTGCCTACCTTGCCACTTATAGTATAATTTAAATAAGCATTTTCTTTTCTAACCTGGCAAGTCCTTTTTTTTGTTTGTTTCTTCTATTTTGTTTTTGTGAGAAGCTATTCGCATGGCAAAAATAGCTTCTCTCCCAAAATAGCCATTTGGAAGTCAGCTGGTCTAAAATACCTTACAGTGTTATTTGGCAGCAAGAAAATCAATTAATGTTATAATGGAAAAACTAGTTTATGCTTTTGATCTTTGAAACAGGAAATCATAGCTAATGTATTACTTCTGTCTTCAAAAACAAATTCTGAAAATAAATTGTGAAAGATTTATCTGTGAAGTTCTGATTATGCACAATATATTGAGAATTTTGTTACCTATGTATAAGTTCTAAGTTGAAAGATTCAATCCCTTTATATATTTAGGGTGTGTAAACTCTTACAAGTAAGAAATACAATTTTTTCCACAACTATAAAATAGAATGAATATGGCAATAGTGATAATTATCATTTATTAATTGCCTCTTCCATGTAATATTAATGCCAGGCATTTTATACTTTTCTTGAATTTTCTCAAAAACTTATAAGGTAGCTATTTTTTTAGAAATATTTATTGATTTATTTAGCTGTGCCAGGTCTTAGTTGCTGTGTGTGGGAGCTTTCATTGCAGCCTGTGGGGTCTAGTTCCCCAACCAGGGACTGAACCTGTGCCCCCTGCATTGGGAGCACGCAGTCTTAACCACTGGACCACCAGGGAAGTCCCTAAGGTAGCTACTTTTATCCTGTTCATATACAGGTAAGGAAACTGAGATTCAGAGAAGTAACCTGTTAAGAGTCACACTGTTAGTAAATGATAGAGTCCTGGTTCAAATGCAGATCTGTTTTATTCTAAATCTGTTTTCTTTTCGCTGCCGCACAACATTCCTACTCCTACATTAGAGGTATTCTTGCTCCTGGATGGCTGAATATGGTATATACACTTTTGTTGTGACTTTAAATATATATGCCCACACATACATTCAAATATGTTTATAATTGTTATATTTTATTAAATATAGGGACTAGAAGGGACTTCCCAGGTGGCTTGGTGGTAGAGTCCACCTGCTAGTGCAGGAGACACAGGAAACTCAGTTTGGTCCCTGGGTTGGGAAGATCCTCTGGAGGAGGAAATGGCACCCACTCCAGTATTCTTACCTGGAAAATTCCATGGACTGGGAAGCCTGGTGGGCTACAGTCCATGCCAGTTGCAAAGAGTCAGCCACAACTGAGCAACTGAACACACATACATGTATTATATATACTTAAAGTCACAGCAAAAGTATATCCCATTATTTGATATACGTGTGTGTGTGTGTTCTATATATAGAGAGAAACAAGAGAGAGCACACACAAATGCAGATAGTGCGTCTGAAGGAAGGGTGGGAGGAAGAAGATGTCTGAATTCCTTGGTTTTCACTAAAGTTGCTCAAGTCTGTAGTCTCTTTGGTTTCTTCCAACCTGCTGAAGGAATGAGGGTAAATTTCAATAGGTATTATCCACATTTAAGTGAAAGATCCCTTACAAATAAGATTTAAAAGGTTATGCTAGTGCTAGCATTTCTTTCTGGTCTCAATTTAACGATTACACTTAGCAAGTTCGGTTTAAATATTTGTACATATAACTAGTCTTGTAAATAAAGAATAAATGTTAACTGAAGTTTTAACTTTCCCCAATTCCTTTTGAAATATTAACTATTGTTGATTAATAATAGCAGCTAACATTTGTTGAATGCTTATTATATACCAGGCACTGGTGAATGCTTTATATGAATAAAATAATGAAAGTAATTTTTAAGTACATATAACTAAATAATTGTCTTCCAGAGTATGAGTTTGGGAAGCTATATGCTTGATCAAAATGTGTTTTCTACCAGTTTTCTTCAAACTGACTTCAAATGAAGAAAGTGAGGGTCAAGAGAAACAGTGTGCTGCCCCATTTGTGTTTCCCCCATGTGATTACCTGTCTTATTCATCACATGCACGAATTCTTTAATCTCTTTGTAAAAATCATATCGACCTTCAAACAGTCAAGAGTGGATACTGCTAATAACACTGCAAAAGAAAAACCTCTGGACTGCTAGGGAATTCCTTATGAATGCGTTCAAAATTGCTAATATAAGTCTTCTAATAGTGCAATGATTTTAGAAAATAATTTATTTTAAAAAATTTCCTTATTTACTCAATTCAAAGGATTAATGATATTGGTAGCAGTCCTTATTAAAATAAGCCTGATACTAAAGAGTTTTACTTACTTCATTCTAAGATTCTCTTGTCATACTCTTTGCTCATTGCACCTGTTGTCTCATTGCTAAAAATTTTCCAGGAAAGTTGTGTATAGCATCTAGGAATCAGAATAAGAATTTTACCATTTGAAAAGATAATGCTGTTTAGCAGTTATTAATATAATATCTAACTATTAGCTATTAAGAATGTAATGTCTAATATGAATATTGTAGTGCTATAGTCATCCATGGACAGGTCTTATGTGAACGTAAGTTTTCATTTCTTTGGGATAAATGCCCAGGAGTGCTACTGTTGGGTCCTATTGTAGTTGCATGTTTAGGTTTTTAAAAACTGCCACACTGTTTATGGAATGGCTATGCCATTTTACACTCTTACCAATAGAAGACTGACTCAGTTTCTCTGCATACTTGCCAGCATTTGATGTTGTTATTATTTTTTTATTTGAGCCATTTTAATAGGTGTGTAGCCATTTCTTCAAATACTTTTTCAACCCTGCCCTATTCCTCCACTCTTTCTGTGACAAATAGCTGTGTTTAAATTTTTTTTTAAGTCTGTTTTTTTTTCCTGTTCTTTAGATTTGGATAGTTTCTGTTTTTTTTTTTTTTGTTGTTGTTGTTTTAATCTTTTAGTTCACTAATTCTTTCCTTTGTTCCTTTTATTCTGTTGTCGAATGCAACCATTATTGTATTTTTCAATTCTAAAATTTTCCTTTGGTTCTTCTTTATAACTTCTTCTTTTCTGAGGCTTTCTGTTTTCCATTTGTTTCAAGCTTGTTTGTAATTGCACAATTAAGCATTTTTATGATGGCTCCTTTAAGACCTTCATCAAATAATTTTAACATTGCTGATTTTTCAGTGTTGACATCTATCATCTTTTTTCACTTTGAGATCTTACTGGTCCTTTGTATGATGAATGAATTTTTATTGAAATCTGGACATTTTGGATATAGTGTTATGAGACTGCTGTTTTTGTTTGTGTCTCTGACACCACTCTAGCAGTGGAAGGTGCCTTGTTATTGCCAGATTGGGATAAATATTCTTGTTCCCCACTTGACTTCTGTTGACATCTGAGACTGAGTGCTTCTCATTACTCATTACTGCTCTGTAGGGGATTGGCGTTCTGGTTCCCCACTAGTTCTTTACTGATAACCTCCCTAGCTGAGAGCCGTGTGAGTACTTCATTTCTCTTCTTCATTTGGCCTCCACTGACAGCATGTCGTAGGGAGGTGACCTCCTTACTTATTGTTGGGCACTGACGAAATCTCAACTCTCCACTAGACTTCCTTTAATACCACCCCAGCTCGGAAAGGGAGAAGCACCTCATTACTGCCAGATGGACATGGAAGTCCTGGCTCCATACTCGACCTTCTCCTAGCACTTCTCTGAGGGGAGATTGTAGCAACTAGTTATAGCAGGAGTGAAAGTCTAGGTTCCCCTCTTGACATTTGCTGGTATAGATGAGGGTGAGGTTTTTGTTTATGTCTCTGACACCCTCATCCACTTCAGCAAATGTGCTGAGATAAAGTAATCACTTTGCTTCAGTCAAACACCAGAGACCTAGTGATGAACCAGAACACCAACCCCCTGCATAGCCATAATGAGGAGCACTATGTCTCAGGTGTCAACAGAAGTCAAGTGGGGGGACAAAAACATTTACCCTTGCTAGGCTGCCCTTTTCCTGGTACTTTGGCTAGAGTGAGCAGATTTTGTGGCCCCAGCAGGGGAGTGGCTGTTTTTGTGTGTGCTTGTTGGTATTTCCCAATTGCCAGCTTAAGTCTGGGATATATGGCACAGGGGAAAAATCAGGAACTCCACCGCATTGTTCTTTGTGTCCCAAGATCTTTAGCTGGCCTGCTTTCTTCTCTTGATCTTTCAGTGATCTAGCCTTATTCCTTGTCTTTTCCCACTTCCATACGTAAATCTTCAGAAATCAACCATGTTCCCACTCGTATCTAGGTTTTCCCCTGTATTCTTAAATTACCCTCACCTTTTTTCTCCATCTTTGAATTTTTCCTTCATCTTTGAAGGACCGTCTCAAGGATCACCTCTTCCATGGAGTCTTTTTCAGATCTCTAGGCATGGTAAATTATTTCCTTTTCTTTGCTTTCATGATACTTTTGTACTTGGGTCTGGTATACCTTTGGCTAGAACTGAGCATGTAGCCCCATCTAAATCCAAGGATAGGTTGGAAAACACAACTGTGCATGTGTCCAGTAATGGGTGGAGAACCAGATATTAGTGAATAGCAGTAATACCTAACACAGTCCTGATTCTGCCATGTGCTATTTCCGTGCTCTTGGAAGACCACTTTTTTGAACCCCAGTTTACTCATCTATAAATTGTAGATAATCACGTTCTTACCTCACTGAATTGTTATGTCTATTAAATGAAATACTGTTACATGGTAATGCTTTGGAAGTGTAAAGTATGCTGGAAATTTTAGCTATCCTTTAACCATTTTTTGAAGTTAAAGTACTGATTATTTTTTCCTAGGTCTCCTGAATGATGCAACTGTAGGTATTTTTAGGGGCAACCAGATGCGCTTAAAACGAGCTTGCATTCGCAAAGCCAAAATCTCTGCTGTTGCTTTCCGGAAAGCCTTCTGCCACCACAAGTTAGTGGAACTTGATGCCACAGGTGTGAATGCTGACATCACAATTACAGACATCATCAGTGGGCTCGGCAGTAACAAATGGATCCAGCAAAATCTCCAGTGCCTCGTGCTGAACTCACTAACTCTCTCCCTCGAAGATCCTTATGAGCGGTGCTTTAGCCGACTTTCTGGCCTTCGAGCATTAAGCATCACCAATGTTCTGTTTTACAATGAAGACCTGGCTGAAGTTGCCTCATTGCCAAGATTAGAGAGCCTGGATATTTCTAACACCTCGATCACAGACATCACGGCTCTCCTGGCCTGCAAAGACCGACTCAAGTCTCTAACCATGCATCACTTGAAATGTTTAAAAATGACAACTACCCAGATACTGGATGTTGTTCGAGAACTAAGACACCTGAATCATCTTGATATTTCAGATGATAAACAGTTTACATCAGACATAGCTCTTCGATTACTAGAACAAAAGGACATCCTGCCCAACCTCGTCTCCTTGGATGTTTCTGGGAGGAAGCATGTGACAGACAAAGCTGTTGAAGCTTTTATTCAGCAACGGCCCAGCATGCAGTTTGTAGGTTTGCTGGCCACTGATGCTGGCTACTCTGAATTCCTCACAGGCGAAGGACATTTGAAGGTTAGATTTTAAAAATATATTCCTTTGTCAGGCTGACCAGTGTTTAGTTTGCATAAGACTCCATTAAGGTGAATGTCTAATAATATGTAGATCATATTCATGAAACCTGACATTATATAGTGGAAAGGCCTTGCTTTAGAGTCCGAATTAAAATTCCAGATTATTTGCTTCATGGCCCAGAGCAAACTATGATGTAACTTTTCAATTTACATTTATTTATAAAATAGGTATGACTCTTACCTGAAAAATTATTCTGAAGGTTAATAATTATATTTGTAAAGTGCAAGTCATGTTGTAGGCCCTGGATAAATGATAGTTCTCATGATGATAATATTTAGATATTTTGAACCACTTAAACATATCATGTCTAAAGGATCACTTCAAAGAAACTAGGAATGCTCCTTTGTAGAAAAGAGTATCTAATGGGAGAGTAAGTTCTCCAAGAAGATCTCTATTGTAAAAATGGTAAAATCCTTCTCTCCTTAAGGCTTCTCGTGCGTAATGGTTTAACTTCCATTTGGGAAACATCTACTGAACTTGGTACAACTTGAGATTGAAAGATAAAAAAGATACAGGATTTGCTTCCAAGGAGCCTGCTAGTAGTAGTAATGTTATGATCACAAACAACTCTAAAGCCAAGGATCAGTATAGTTGCTGTAGGAGAGTAGGAGAAACTTTTTCTCACTGGAGAATTTTGGTCTTGATGGAAGATGATATCTGAATCAGACCTTGAAGGATAGAACTGTAACAAACTTAAGGACAACTAGTATTTTTCTAACACACATTGTATCCTATAAATGCCTTATATTGTATATGGTAATATCTATAGATTGATATTAACTCCACTTTATAGATGAGAAACATAGAAATTATGATTTACTGTTAGCTAGAACCAGTGTTTGGCTCTACATCTGTCTAATTTCAGAGCCCCATTTTTTTTCCTCTACTACTTGGACCAAACCACTTAAGTTGAAGCATCATTTGATTCTACCTGGTGCAAATGGCAATATTGAGTTCTTTTTTATGGCTGAGTAGTATTCATGTGTGTGTGTGTATACCACACCACATCTTCTTTATCCATTATCTATCAATGGACACTTAGATTGCATCCATATCTTGGCTATTGTAAATAGTGCTGCTGTAAATTTTGGGATGCATGTATCTGTTTCAATTATAGTTTTCTCCAGATATATGTCCAGGAAGGGGATTCTGAATCATATGGCAACTCTATTTTTAGTTTTGTAAGGAACCTCCATACTATTTTCCATGGTGACTGTACCAACTTACATTCCTACCAACAGTGCAGGAGGGTTCTTTTTTAGCAATCAGTATCGATCTCAAAAAAGGAGAAGGAAAGGTTAGCTATAGAACATTTTAAAACATGTCAGTTCTTATATTATTTGTAAATTTAGACTTTAAAAAGTAGAATGTAGGAAATTATTTTAAGTCATTTTTTTATTCATTCATTCAGTAAATATTTTATTAAGTACCTCTGCATATTTTGTACTGTGCTAGACATGGAGATTTGAGATGGTGGTGTGGAGTGAAATGGTGTGATCTTGCCCTCATGGAGCTTGTAATTTAGTGAGGGATTCAGACAGTGAAGTATCATACATATGTCATGGGTGTATGATTTCAATATATGTATTCATACATCATAAACCTATATATTAATACATGATATGCACACATATATATGCTTTAAATTGCATAGTGTTAAGAATCTAAAAGCTACATAATACTGTATTTGAGTATGTTTAACAGAGAATCCCGACTTAGTTTAAGGTTTCTCTAAGGACTTGATAAATGAGTGGAGACCTTATGGATGAGTAACTTGGTAGAGAAAATTCCAGGCAGCAAGAATAATTCAGCAAAAGATGTGTGGCAGGAAGGAACATAGTACATCCAAGGAACTTCAAGGAGGCCACTGCGGCTCGAGTTGTAGAGTAGGACGTTGCAGAGTGATGAGATGAGGCTGGAAAAGCAGGTGCTCGGGCCGGAAACGGCAGGGTCAGATGAACCAGGTGCAGGGCAGCAAGTGTGAGGACCTCGCATAGCAGCTTGTTATCAAACAAGGTAAGCTTCTAGCACAGGGCTTGTGGGTAAAGGCAGCATAAAAATGTAAATTACTATGTTAGTGTTACTTGTCTGCCAAAGAAATGGGTCAGTAAAGAACTGTGAAAATCAAAGGGGAAGAAATCTCTGTGTACTGGGAGTTTAGGAAGGATTTCCCAGAGGAGGTGAGCTTGATCTGTGTCCTCAAGGATGAGAGGAATGTGTCCCTAGCACACTGCACTAAGTAATCTTCTCAAGGCAAAGATCCTCCAGTAGCTATGATTCCGGAGCAGTATGATTTTTGCCGATTGTTCTTACCACCAACAGACCCTAGAGTGAATTAGCCCAAGGTTTTAGTTGAGGCTAGTAGAAAATATATGTTATACAATGCCTCTGTGAAACAAGTTTGATTTTACAAATGGAACGTCATTGCTTTGAAATTTTGACTCTAGAAAACACCTACTTTGCTGTCATCTAGTTTCCACTTCTGTAGATACAGTGATTCTCAACCTTGACTGTAATTAAAATTACCTGGAGTATAATTATTTGAGATGATGGATATGTTAAGTAACTGTATCATGGTAATCATTTTGCAGTATTTACATGTATAGCATCATCATTTTACACATTACACTTACTTAATGTATTTGTCATTATGTATCTATAATATTATATATCTTGATAAAGCTGGAAAAAATTTTTAATTTAAAAAATCATCTAGGTAACTTGAGCAGTTAAATCAGAACTGTAGGGAGGTGGGACTGAGGCATCAGTTCTTTTAAAAGCTCCTTGGGTGATTTTAATATGTAGCTAAAATGGAGAATCATTGTTTTAAAATAATTTTAAAAAATAGAGATCTTTGGAGCTTTGCCCTTTATTCAACTATATATAAAAATTGATGTTTGTTTTAAATTATTTGTTTGACTACTAATTTGAGAGTTGAAAAATAATAGGTCATGTTAAGAGAAGAGAGCTGAGATTGCTCTGTCTCCTTTTTTAGAATTTTCCAGATTAGCAAAGTTGAAAAATGGGTCTGAAATGATTGTTTTAATATTATGATGCTTTAAATTAGTTTAGGTTGACACTTTTGGTTTTACATGCCTCAGTTATTTAGACCACACTGAAGGATGCAGGAAGTAGAGACAGTGTGACTGCCCAGTGTTCCTTATGAGGCCTTATCCGGGACTTTTAGTGGGTGATTCTAAGAACAAAAGATTTGATTTTTCCACTTTTCTGTGTATTATGTATTTTGATCTCTTGACTCTGTGTGGGAGGTATTGTCCTCAGTGAGAGGGAATGATTTTCTTAAGGATCACAGCTAGCTGATGACCCTGGAATGTATTCTTTCTACTACATCTCTGCCTATATTTGAGAACCTTAATTCTTTCTCTTACTCTCTGTTTCTAGTCCCAACACAGAGGGTTTTCTTACATAGAATTACCGACTCTGTCACCTTTGTTTCCCTACCTTATTTGCTTGTTTGTAACCATCAGTTTCCTCAACCTTCCGCTCTTCCACAGTTAAAGTTCTTAGGTTTTCTGGCTGCCTCGTTCCTGAGAATCACTGGTTATATGTTAAAGCCAGTATTCTCAGTCTTCGTCTCATTTGGTCTAAATGCCTTTTGACACAGTTGATCTTGTCTTCCTTCTTGAAATACCTTTTTTTTTTTTTAAACTTAGTTTCTAGGATATCAGATTGACCTTGTTTTTTCTGTACTTTTTGGACTTTCTCTCAGTTCCCTTTATTGATTCTTCCTAAATCTCTCAGGCCTCAAATCTATATGTCTATGTCAATTTAGGAATCATCCTAAATTTATATCTATAACCTAGACTTCTTCCTTGAATTAAGACTTAATAAGTACTTTTTAAAGATGTCTGAGCTAGTGCTTCTGCTCTTGAGGAATTCTGATCCAGTGGAGAAGAGACAGAACAGTTTAAAAATAGCTTTAATCAATTGTGAGAAATGCTGTAATAGAGTTATGTGCTGAGTGCTACAAGAAAGTCTTTCCTTAGAATATACATTTAGTTTTATCCATATTTTAAATATTAATAAGGTTTAACTTAGTGGTAAAAGACATTTTTTCTGTTTCAAATAGGTTGCAGAAACTAGTACATACAGATAGGTGTGTGTTTGTTGTTGGTTGTTGTTGTTTTCTTTTTGATCTAGCATGTGAAATTGATTGAATTGAAGCTGCATATAGTTTGAGGAGCCAGATTGCTTGATTTGAGTAGGGACTCAAGAAGGGTTAATCCCTGAATAAATATACAGGTGATGAAATTTGGTTCAGATTATTTACATTCCAGTAACAAAAGTTCTTGTAATTTTACATTTAAAGGTAACTTGAGGTTACATTTTAAATTAAGACTGTAAAGCTGTTTGAGTCAACCAAATGTGGATAAATGAAGTCTGATGAAGATTATTGTTAATGTGTTTTCCCTCTTATAGTCTTTTTTAGCTCTCCTAATAGTTCAGTGTCTTTCCAAATCTAAGAAAACCTAAGAAAAAATTCAGGGTGATTCAAAAAGAGTTGAACATTAGGAAAATTTTTATTGTTCAATAACTGCTTATATGTGAATACATAGTCAAAATCATTGTTTATGTATGTATGTTATACATTCTTATTGTTGTTTAGTCACTAAGTTGTGTCTGACTCTTTTGAGACCCCATGAACTGAAGCCTGTCAGACTCCTCTGTCCATGGGATTTCCCAGGCAAGAATACTTGAGTGGGTTGCCATTTCCTTCTCCGAGGGCTCTTCCCCACCCAGGGATCAAACCCACATCTCCTGTGTCTCCTGCATTGGCAGGTGGATTCTTTACCACTGAGCCTCCAAAGAAGCCTATATTATACATGAAAGAAAAGTGAAAGTGAAGTTGCTCAGTCATGTCTGACTCTTTGCAACCCCATGGACTGTGTAGCCTACCAGGCTCCTCCATCCATGGGATTTTCAAGGCAAGAGTACTGGAGTGGGTTGCTATTTCCTTCTCCAGGGGATCTTCCCGACCCAGGGATTAAACCCGGGTCTCCTGAGTTGTAGGCAGACGCTTTTACCGTCTGAGCCACCATAAATAGTATAAAAAATATTTTGTAAAGAAACTTCCATTGTTATTCCCGCAGTCTTACAAATGCTCAGTATATGCCTTTTTGTCACTTGGTACACACATCTGTGCTGTAGTCTAATTCTTGTTAGACCTTTATAGCATATCCTATCAATGGTTGAAATGTTAGCTGTGATTCAGCCCTTCATTTTCTCAAAGCTGCATATTCCTTACCCATATGAACATAGTTATTACTAAGTAATACACTTTAAACATATTTATTTTTGTGTCACCTTTTATAATGGTGCTGCCAAAAAAAGATAGTCTTCCACCTTAATGAGAAGATTATACCTCTCTCATTAGGGTTTGGGTGTTTTTTGTATTTATTTATTTTTTACCATTTTGAAATCATCACTCGGGTTAATAAATAGAACTTGTCAGCTACCCTGAAGCTCTTTCACATGCCCCCATCCTAATCACAACTTCCTTCTTCCCCACAAAAGTAATCTCTGTCCTGACTCTAATGATAATCATGTCCTTGCTGTTTTAAATAATTTTACATCTAGGCACTTAGTTAATCTTGCCCACTTTTCAAAATCATACGTCTTTTCAGTATCTTTTATAAAGTTCCCTCTCCATCCCTTTCTTTTCCTTATACTTTGTGTATTAAAGAATCTGACCCTTTGGTCTGTAGACCTGCCCTCAGTCTAGGTTTTCTTGATTGTATGTTTGTGGTGCACATTGACTGTATTTTCTGCAAATTGGTAGCTGGATGTGAGGACTTAGTCAAACTCATGTTTAATCCCTTTGGCAGGATGCTTAGGTTTTACGTTTTCATTAAGGAAGTACATAATATCTGGTTGTTTTTCTTTCTGTGATGTATTAGCAATTGTTGACCTTCAACACCTAGTTCCATTAATTCATTGAGGATCATGGTGATACTGTAATAATTGCTTTTTTTACTTATTACTGGGTTACTTTTCCAAAAAGCCACTTCTTGGTATATACCTTTGGCTACCCAGTGGTATATGAACCACAGTTTAACATAACTATATTAACCTGTATAAATGGGAAATTCCAGGATACATTTACTTTTGAACAGAATTTTTTAGTGCTGAATGGGAGCTTGATAAATCTGGGAGAATCAATTAATATACTTATTTGATAAATATTTTTTGAGTGCTTATTCTGAGCCACACACAGTGCTGCCTGTTGGGGTACAGTGACTAGATCAGTCTACTAAGGGGATTGTGATAATGGCTATGAAGGTGATGTTTCAGGAAGACCTGACTTAGATTGGTGGGCCAGAGAAGACCTCTCTAACAAAGTGTTATTTAACTTGAAATGAGAAGGATGAATAGAAATTAGGTAAAGAAAAAGAGGAAAATTTCAGAGAGGACATTATACTTAGTAGCTTTTTTCTGGGAAAGAGCTGGACTTATTGAAAGATCAGAAAGGTCAGTGTAGGTTGTTGGGGGGAGAGAGATAGATTGAGAGTTTTGGACTGACATGTACCCATTGCTATAAAAATAAAAAAGGGCCACTGTCATTACTAAATTGTGAGTTAGGGCGAGAGAGTTACCTTAAGAGGCAGTAGAAGCCTAATCATGCTGCTGCTGCTAAGTCGCTTCAGTCGTGTCGGACTCTGAGCGGCCCCATAGACGGCTCCGCCGTCCCTGGGATTCCCTTATAAATAGAGTTAAATATCTTGAGATTTATTTTAGGTACAGTATAATTTTACCCATAGACTTATTCTAGGATCTGATCCAATCTAATATATATCTATTTAGCATATGTATACCTTCACAGGATGACTTTTCGGGATGGGTTGGAAAATAATCATAGCCATTTGTTTCAAGCTTTACATAACTATCCTAGATGCCATCCACACAAATGATGTTTGGATAGAGACAGTTAGAGGGTTGAAAAGAATCCTAAAAGCTCATCTTCTGGATGTGTTCAAAGGTGTCTGGAGAAGCCAATGAAACTCAGATTGCAGAAGCATTGAAGAGATACAGTGAACGGGCCTTCTTTGTCCGAGAAGCTCTATTTCACCTTTTTAGCTTGACTCATGTGATGGAAAAAACAAAGCCAGAAATTTTAAAGGTAAGAACAAGAAACTGGATATGAGAAATGTGAAATTATCTTCCTAGTTAGATGATAGTTTTGTGAAGAAAATTGGTGAAAATCTGCATTTAGTCTTTTTTTTATAAGATTGATAATATATAATTCAGTTTTTAGCCATAAATGAGAATGAGAGGAGATAATTGAATAGTGCTACTGAAGTTTTATAGTAATCTCATTTAAGCAATATAAATGCCTTCAAGTTCATATTTAACTATCTAAAACCAGTAATCAGTGTGATATCTTTTTACCAGCTGTAGTAGAAAATAAAGTATATGACTCGAATCAGGACACTACTTGGTATATTAGCCATGTATTGCTTCCATATATGGTTTTTAAAGAAATACAATATTGGGATTTTATAAAGCACTTTTCCATGCTATTTATAAACCTCTTGTGCTTTTGTAACTAATCTGTGTTATTCCCCAATTAAGATATTTTACCCAAGACAGTTTTTGAAGGAAAAAATAGGAGGATTCTTAATTTTGTTGATTGGGCGGGGCATTTTTTGTCAGAATGTGGTCCTCTAGCCACCTGAAGTCTGAGATATTGCTTATTTTAAAAAACATATTTGTGAACCTCATTCCAAGAAAACTTAGATTCAGTAGGGCTGGATAAGATACAGGAATCTACATTGTAATAATCCCTCAAGATAATCCTTATACACATTTAATTTAGAAACCAGTGAATATAGGAGTATATTATATTTGGTCCCTCTTTTAGTGGGCACAACAATCCCAAGAAAGAAGTTTTATCTTCTCTTTTACAGATTATGTACTTGAGGGTCTGTGAGGTTAAGTAACAATAAATTAGTGGCAGAGCCAGAATGACTTAACCTCCTGGTTTCTTAAATTTTTTGAGAATGGGGTGTTTGGATAGGAAGCAGTAACGTTTAAGTCCTTGGATGTTGGTTGCAACATCTGCCACCTCCTGTATACAGAGGATATTGGTGCTTGGTATATGCATTACCATGTTTTGGTTTTGGTTACTGTGCACTTGAGTAACAAAGGACCAGACCTGTAGTCCTGATCTGAAATATTTTCTCATTCATTCATTCATTCAGAGAATGGTGCAGAGAGAAATGTGATTCTTTTAAGAAGTTTTTGCTGCAAAAGGAAGCAAAAGAAAAAGGTGGTAGTTGGCTGAGGATGTGTGTGGGTTTTGTTTTGTTTTGTTTTAGATGGGAGAAAAAAATACCTTGTTTGTATGCTGTGTGAATGATCGACTACAGAATAAAAATCTGGTATAGGAGTTGGAAGGGGAGATCAGCTGAAGCAGTGTCCTTGGGTAGACAAGAAGGGAAGAATCAAGCTTTTAAGTGGAGGGATTATCTTTAGAGAGGAGCCCCTAGAGGTCATTTATGGTAACAGGCAGGCAGACAGCAATTGCTCATGTGTATGCTGGCAAGGAGGTACGTGTAAAAGCCAGAATCTGAAGTTCTTTTATGGTTACTTCAGTTTTCTCAGGGCTTCCCTGCTGGCTCAGAGGGTAAAGTGTCTGCCTACAATGCAGGAGACCTGGGTTGGATCCCTGGGACGGGAAGATTCCCTGGAGAAGGAAATGGCAGCCCACTCCAGTACACTTGCCTGGAAAATCCCATGGATGGAGAAGCCTGGTAGGCTACAGTCCATGGGGTCGCAAAGAGTCAGACATGACTGAGTGACGTCACTTTCACTTTCCGTTTTCTCAGGGTAACTGGAAGTAAGATCTTTAGCCATTAATGAGGAATGAGGAGGATTTGTTGGGGATTTGAGGAGAGAGGAAAAGGAGAGAAATAGTTATCTAGGCCAGAGGGAAGTAAATGGATTTTATTATATTTTAGTTTTAGCAGTGTTCTTAAGGAACTGAATGTTGGGATTTGAAAGTGAAGTTTGCTGCTGGTTTACTCTATTCAAGTCAGTGTTGGGGTCCTTTAATGGACCGGAACCTGGTGGTACGGAGTCGACGATAAGAAAGTGAAAGAGAGAAAGAGGCTGATATCCCTTGGTTTACGCAGAGGACCAATAAAGTCCTTGACACAGGACTTGCATCGCTCACGAAGGCACCAGGCGCCCTCTCGAGGGGGTCTTAGAAGCCCGGGCAGAAAAGTGAGCACGACGGGTCTCCATGCTCCAGAGAGTCAGCCAGAAAAAGAGAGAGAGGGAGAGAGAAAGAGAGAGAGAGACAAAAAAGACCCGGGGACCTAAGCTCTGATGAAGCAAAGGTGCTTTAATGATTTTCCTATGAGTATATATAGGCTGTGGTACAAGAAACTTCTTTCGGGAATGATAGAGATCAGAAAACCAAACGTACAGCAACTGTTACCAAGGGAACAAGGGGTAATGTTAGTCACAAGGTCAGGAGACAATCCATATCTCAAGAAAGGGGAACGAGACTAAGTATTTTGTCCTAAAGAGAACGTTTACTAAAGGAGACCCAAGCCTGCCTCACACAATGACCTCAGTCCCTGGGAGCAGCGTGCTGTTCCGCTTGCAGAGGGACAAAGGACTCATGAGAGACAGCACGTAGGAATCCTCCCAACAAGCATTCCCTGACAAGTCAGTAAGAATTTGTTTAGTGCTTGGCATAAAACAGGCCAGACTGAACTGTATCTAGGAAATACTAAGATGTTTTCTCTGAATAGAAAAGATTCATTAACATTACAGAAAAATTTCTGGACATGAACAACTTGACACCTCCCTTGACCAGGTAGGTGAATAACTATTATGTCCTAGGCTCTGCACATAAGGATAAAAAATATACTTAAGATATCTTAGAAATTATTACAGATCAACAGAGTAATGTTGCTATATGCTGCTGCTGCTAGGTCGCTTCAGTCATGTCTGACTCTATGCAACCCCATAGACGGCAGCCTATCAGGCTCCTCTGTCCTGGGATTCTCCAGGCAAGAATAGTGGAGTGGGTTGCCATTTCCTTCTCCAATGCATGAAAGTGAAAGTGAAGTAGCTCAGTTGTGTCCGACTCTTCGAGACCCCATGGACTGTAGCCTATCAGGCTCCTCCGTCCATGGGATTTTCCAGGCAAGAGTACTAGAGTGGGTTGCCATTGCCTTCTCCATTGCTATGTGAAGAGGGCTTATATGTTTTTATAAGTTGGATTCAGAGAACTCATTTCTTTTTCAGCTTGTGGTTACTGGGATGAGAAACCACCCTATGAATTTGCCAGTGCAGCTTGCTGCAAGCGCCTGTGTGTTTAATTTAACCAAGCAGGATCTTGCTGCAGGAATGCCTGTCCGACTCCTGGCTGATGTGACCCATTTGCTGCTCAAAGCCATGGAACATTTTCCCAACCACCAGCAGGCAAGCATGTGGGAATTCACATACAAATGGTCTTTTTAGTGTCTACTACCCATCTCCTACCTCCATACAGTTCATTTTAGTAGACCAAAGCTGGAAATTCCTTTGGAGGCTGTTAAGTAATATGTTTTGTGGTGTGACTGAGTGCAGGGCGATAGACAAGTAGAATACTGAAGAATGCGTTCCTCGCCTAAAAGCATTTCAGTCCAAACATGGACTGAAGCCATGTAAAACGTCTTGCGCCCAGACCTTGAGTTAGTGATCATTTCAGCGTACAGGATTAGGCATAGAGCTTCTGCTCTGAACCAGGCATTGGTTCAGTACTCAAGTACTCAGTACTTAAGTACTGGAATAGAGAAATAAATAAGACATGGATTTTCTGTTTCTAGCAGTATAGGTAGTCTATAAAACCTGTCCTGTTCTTTGGATGAAAACTAAAAATGCTGCTGGAATTATATTTTTAATTATATATATAATTACATATATATTTTGAACTCTTAAGATTTAACAATGAGTTGGCAAAATTAGTAGAAAATACTCAGAGACCCAAAATCAAGTAAAATTGGCAACCCAGATTGGTGAGTGGATCATTAAAGCCAGCTTCTCTCATTGAGAATAGCTGCCAAACTAGATGAGTTTTAGCCTTTGGTTTTCATGGACTCTGGAAGCCAGGTGAACAGAAGACAAAACAGGACCCATCCAAAGGCCACCAGAAGGGAGGGAGATTAGCTGGAATTATCCAGTTTATCACCCTGTTTCTCATCTAATAAAAAAGATTTTTAAAATGTGCAAGTAAACTTATGTGGGTCCAGTGGAAGTCAGTCCTTGAACTATAGGTGAGCAGAATAAAGGTTCTAAGACATGTTATGCTTTATAAATGTCTTTTTTTAAAAATAGAATCTAACAAAGCAATATTTATTCAGGGTTTTTTTTTTTCTCTCTCTTTGGTTCTTAGTTACAGAAGAATTGCCTCCTTTCACTTTGCAGTGACCGAATTCTTCAAGATGTTCCATTCAACAGGCAAGTGGTAGCACCAGAACTTAAATATGGGGCAAAATGGAATTTTAGAAATCTGTCTTGGGTCATGTCTTACCATTTAGGATATTCCTAGTGTACAGTTAATTAAGTGGGTGGGATTGTGTTTCACCTTATAGAATGCTGAATCTACTTTCTGTAATTTAATGCTTTCATATTCATGAGAGCAGATTCTATTTTCATACCTATTTGCATAAAAATTTGTACTGATTATAGTTTTTAGAATGTGTGCACAGTGTTGTAGGCTGAAGAAACTAAAGCATATAGAAATTCAGTATCTTGCCCATGGTTTTGTGACTAGTAACTGCAAGGCTAGAAAGGATCAAGTCTAGTTTTAGCTCCAGCATTCTTTTCTCTGTATCATGCCTCTTTTTATTATAGTTATTTGATATTGAATTATAGGAGAAACCTTTTAAGCAGAGGTTTAGGGAGACCATATAGTTGGATTCCAGTAAGTATAAAGAGTTTCCTTATTTTGTAGGATGTGATATGGGAGCTAATTTTTTTTTTCATTTTACTATTTTAAAATATAATTTTTTAGTGATGGTATTTTCAAAACTAAATTTATACTTGATGATTTAATGAGAAGTGTATTTCTCAAGTAGCAATTTTATAGTGATTTACTTTTATTTGGGTAATAGTACATTGTTATCTGACATGCTGGTGGAATGAAGTATTCCATTTACTTGAAATAAATAATTGGTTCAGACGGTAAGGAATCTGCCTGCAATGCAGGAGACCCGGGTGTAGTCTCTGGGTCACAAGGATCCCCTGGAGAAGGAAATGGCAACCCACTCCAGTATTCTTGCCTGGAGAATTCCATGGACAGAGGAGCCTGGTGGGCTACAGTCCCTGGGGTCACAAAGAGTTGGACATGGCTGAGTGACTAACATACTTTCACATGTATCTCATGTAGATTACTGAATTTTATTTTATAAATATATTAAGCATCTGCATTGATCACATGAAGTCATAGGCTGAAAAGACATAATCTAAAGAAAATTATAAACCACCCCAGAGGTTGACAGCCTTTTCCTTAAATGGCTAGATATTAAATGTTCCAGGTTCATGAGCCATAGGGTCTCTGTTGGACCTACGTAATCCTCCCATTGTACCTCCAAAGCAGCCATAGACATAGACTTTATTTAAAAAAAAAAAATGGGGATAACTGTTCTAATAAAACTTCAGAAAACAGACAGCTAGGCCCGCAGCTATAAAATCACTTGAGGTGGGCTATTGTCTGCCCTTGATGTAGCCAGTGAGTACAGTCTGCTAGAATTGAGCTTCTTTGTGGTAAGAGACAGAGATTGATTAATCTTTGCCGCTAGTGCTTAGTACTTCAGTGGCTGTTTGGTGGATGGATGAATGAATGAATTAGGAGTATAACAGAAGACAGCCTTTCATAGAAGAGGATGACAGAATGCACTGGGCCCCCAAGCAAGACCAGAAAGATTTCATTGGCTTGGTGATCATTAAAGATTTCATTTTAGTGATGGCATTAAGATAATAAAAATAATAACTAATGTATGAGGCACTTACCAGACACTGTGCTAGGTGTTTTAGATAGGTTTATTCAGTCCTTGCAACAGTCCTGTGAAATTGTTACTATTGTAATCTTCATTTTACAGATGAGGAAACAGAGGCACAGAGAAGTTTAGTAGCTTGCTCAAGGTCATAAGATAGTAAGTAGCAGAATTTAGATTTAAATCCAGACTGACTCCATGGATTTTTATATCCATGTCATATATTGCCTTGAAACTGAAAATTGACTGAGTTGATTGTTCTGTGGGAACTGCAGAAGTAAAGGCACAGAGGAAGTCAATACTAGTAAAAGTTAACTTTTATCAAAAGTTTGATATGTTCCAAGGTCTGTACTAAGTCTTAAGCTTTATGTGTGATATGATATAATCCTCACAACAGTCCTATGGAATAGACTGTATTATTTTACAGACAAAAAAATTGAAGTTCAGAGAGATGAAGAAAGTTACCCAGGTTCCCAAAGTTAGTACATGGTGAAGGTGATATTTGAATCTAGGCTGATTCCAATGTGTATGATGTTCTTAATGACATGACTACATTGCCTCACAGGATAAAACAATTTATTTTATTGTTATCATTAACATTAGGTAGAGCTAGAATTCCAACCCCCAAATTCAAAGAACTTCAGAATTTGCTTTTAACTTTTAATACTAGGTTATATTATTTGATATATATGGACATGTTTTGAGACTAATAAAGTTTCCATGTATCATATTCTCTCTTTTCCTGTTTTATTTATTTTTTTCTCTAGCATATGTCAGTACCCAAACGTGCCATATACTTTACTTATTTATTTATTACCTGTCTTCCCCACTAGAGTGTAATCTCTGGGAGAGTAGAGATATTTTTCTGTTTTGTTTGCTAATCTGTCTCTAGCACCCAAAACAATATCTGGCACAAAGGAGAAGCTTCATAAATGTTTTTGAGTAAAAGAATGAGTATTCCCATTGTGCTAAGTACTGGCGGGAACCCAGAAAATACTTAAAATTATTATTATCACTACAGAATAGAAATATGTTATACCTCTAGAAGGTGAATGTCAAGATATTTTTTACCATATATTCCAAACGCTCTGTTTCTTTACCGTGTTGTCAGAATTAATTATACCATCTTCAAAACACTATGTGTCCTTGTTATTCTCTGTCAATTAGGAGGAGCTTTCCTTTTCTTTCTCACCTACCTAAATTGTAGCAGCATTTCCCAGCTGGAGCTCTGAAACTATTCCTGGGGCCTCCAGGGTTAATTCATGAGACTCTGTGTGTTTCCAGGTTTGAAGCAGCCAAGCTTGTCATGCAGTGGCTCTGCAACCATGAGGATCAAAACATGCAGAGGATGGCAGTTGCTATCATTTCCATTCTGGCTGCCAAGGTACCCGAACTCATATTTTATACTTTTCTGTAGGAAACTGTTTCCCCTGACAGTTTAGTAAACCAGGTTAACTTACTCAAGCTGCATTCAGGATTGCAGAATTCCAGGTTGATCAGATTGTGGTCTGACCTTTGGAGTCTGCTACAGTGAATGGTATTAAACTCACACTAGTAGATGTTTGGACGTTTACCTTGTCTCCTGCTTGCTTGCAGCTTTCTACAGAGCAGACAGCCCAGCTTGGTGCTGAGCTCTTCATCGTCCGGGTAAGTCTATGCAGACCCCTAAACAGTTTTCATTTTAGTTATTCTCAGGCAGTGTTGCCTATCTTCTGAGATTTTATATTTCAAAAGTTTGTTTTTGTTACTTCTAAGTGAGTGTATTAATTTCTCTTCATTGGGGCAGCTTTACTCTTTAACAGGAGATGGAAAGACTCCTGAACTAGGAATCAGATGACCCGGGGTCTAACTTGTAAACTCACTGTGTGAATATAGATAAATTACCTGGACCATTGGGGCCCAAATAAACCTTAAATCCTATCTAGTTCACATAATTCTGTGATTTTGTTATTTATTAAGAAAATGTGGAGTCTCTATTATAGTCATAAGACTATGCTAGATGCTTTAGGGGAAAAGATTATGTAAATAGCTGATTTATGATTTTTGGTTGCTTCAGTTGAGGAATTAATATAGTGAACAGTGAAAACTTAAAATCTTTAGACTAAGTCGAAATCATGCCTTATTCCCAGTTCTGTCACTCAGCAGCTGTGTGATTTCAGGCAAGTCACCTAAATTTCCTTTGAAGTAATAAAAAATGCTTTATACAGTTGTTATGAAGATTGAAAAGGAAAAAAAGATTGAAGGAAGATACTAAGTTCCTAGCACAAAATCCAACACGTATGTTAGACGAGTAGAAAATGGTGCTGATTTTATTTATTTTTACTCTCTTCAGGGATGATATTTTAGTTTTAAATATGACTTTTTATTGCTGTGTATGAGTTTCAGTAATTTTGGCTAGAGGTGTATTCAAAGATTATAAGGAAGTAGTCCACTTGTATGCTTTGGGAGAAAATTAAGTTTAATTTGATTAGCAATTAGCAGGAATTAATAGTAGTAGTAATGGTGATGCTAGCTAATTTTTTTTTAAGCCCTTAATTAAGTTCAGGTAGCCCAATTCTACTGCCACACTCTTGGCCACTATGCTATTAAGTTACATAATTGCAACTAGATGTTTGTGTTTCTTAAAAATTTTTTCCTTCATTGTACATAACGTTAAGTAATAGTGCTTATTAATATTACTTGTATCTGTTTTAGCAGAGCTCCATTTACCCCCAAAAGTGTAAACTAAAATTGGAATTATGGATGGCCCATGTAGGTCTTAACATATTTATTTTTCAAGCTTACATTTCTTAGGTTTAAAGCTGTGATAGAAATAATTTACAAATGGAAATTCAAAGCTATAATCTTAATTAAATACAATTTACACTTTAATTCTCTTACTATTGTATATAGTTCATCCTTTCTTTTTTTCTTAAGGAAAACATGGGGTTAGAACTAGGTCTTCCAATTTTTACTCTCTCTTACTAAGTTGGCTATGATAAAATTACTTAATATTACTTGGACTCACTTTCCTCTTCTGAAAAATGAGGACAACAGTATTACAATATAGGATATAATTTGCTGATATGTAGTTAGTATTGGATTCATTCCCCCTTCATTCCCTCCACCTTTTTTATCCCAGGATCTGAAGTGAGTGTGTGTTGTGACCTGTTGGGTAACATAGTTGACCCTAAGTTTTAATCATTTTGCTTTTAATTTTATTTACAGGTGATTAGATTATAGATATGATAAGAATATTATAGAAGTATTTGTGAAAATTCTCTTTTTTTCTTGTGGAAGGGATCAGAATATTATAGAAGTATTTATGAAAATCCTCTATTTTTTTCTTGTGAAAGGAAAAGTCTAATCCAATAGGCTGTTTGTTGCACTTTATAGGAAATGTTTGAACTCATGAAACTAATCCTCATGGACTTATTAGTCTATGTTATTACCACTAATTATAATAACAATTCAGTAATTAGAAATTCTATTTTCCTCTTTCAGCAACTTCTTCAAATAGTGAAGCAGAAAACCAATCAAAATTCAGTGGACACTACTTTGAAGTTTACTTTGAGTGCACTTTGGAACCTCACAGATGAATCTCCAACCACTTGCAGACACTTTATTGAAAATCAAGGGTTAGAACTCTTCATGAGGGTTCTAGAGGTTAGAATGGGAATTTAGCCTACAGCTTTGGACATTCATTTATTGATTGATTTGAGCATTTGTTTATTATATTTGGTTCTTTAGTTATAGATGTCTCTTTCTTTTTATAGTCATTCCCAACCGAGTCATCCATTCAACAGAAAGTCCTAGGACTTTTGGTAAGATACAAGCATTTCCCACTAAGTTCAAGCTGTAATTATTTTCCATCTGAGATATTACATAGAAAAATGCTACTCTGTTTGTAAACACATAATGATGTTAAAAATATATATCAATATAATTAAGTAAAAAAAGCAGGCTACAAAGTTACATATACATATTTAGATTTTCACCATACTGAAAGGAAGAATATAAATTACATACTTTTCTTTATATTTTGTGGTATAGTACAAAGCTTCACTGTGAACATGTTTTACTTGTATAATCAGAAAAAAAAAGATCTCATGAAAAATGTCACTAACCTACAAGTATTCTTAGATTCTATGTCTGATAATTGATAATTACTACTTAAACAACTGTTTAACAAATCAAATATTCCATAAGTATACTGAATATATGTTAAAGTGAGCCCTCTAGGATTTTAAGACACAGAGGAGGATCAGATATTTTATCACTTTTAATTACTGCAACAGAAGAAGTGCCTGTACAGAAGATGCTATTTTAGAGCAGCCCTCTGCTCTTGAAGAATTAGATCACAGGAGGCATAGGTTAGTAAATTGTAAAAGAAGAGTAGATTAATGTTGATTTTCTAGATTCAGAAACATGAGAGATGGATTTTTGCGAAAGCTGAGGGCTGGCATTTAAAGAGGACAATCTAGAGACTTCCCTAGCGGTCCAGTAGTTAGAACTTCCTGCTACAAGCACAGGGGACATAGGTTTGATCCCTGGTCTGGGAACTGAGGTCCCACATGCAGTGGGTTGTGGCCAAAAGACCAAAAGACAAAAACAAAACCTAAAAAACTGTAGTATCTATTTACTATAGTTTTAGTTATATAAAGCAGAAAATGTAAAACTATCTAAATGCCCAGTAATAGGGAAATGTTAAGTAAATTACAGTATTTGATTGTTTTATTCATGGTTCATAGGATTATTAGATATGAAATTTGGCCTAAGTCATTATAAGAAGAAAAGGGGAATTTATTTTAAATATTCAGAAAGATCACATAGGGCTTTAAAATTGCTTTTTAAAAAAAATTTCTTAATATATGCTTACTATACCTAGTGAAGCAGTGCAAAAATGTATTTAAAAAGTGTAAGGTTTTGTCCCCAACCTTCCTTTATTTTAATTTTGTGAATTAATGTTAATACATCCTGACGTGCTTCTTTCCGCTTTTTCCTTTACTTTGTGATTGAATTTTTTTGATAGTTTATTTTGAGATATTGATTCTAGTTTAATTTTTCATGATCAGAGAAAGTACTTTGAGTCCTTTTGAATTTACTGAGACATATGTGTCCTGGGATATGGTCTTTCCTGGTCAATGCTCCATGTGCTCTTTAGAAGAATGAATATTCTGCTTTTGTTAAGAGTGTTCTATATGTATCTATTGGTTGATATTCACATCTACCATAGACTTACTGATTTTCTGCCTACTTGTTCTGTTAGGTAGCATTTATCATGTTCTATCAGTTTTTGCTTCCTGTACTTTGAAGCTCTGTTAGTAGGTTCAAAAATGGAATTGTTATGCCCTCTCAATTAATTGATCCCTTTATCATTATGAAATGACCTTCTTTATCCCTGGTAGTATTCTTTACTTTGAAATCTTCTTTTTCTCCTTAATATAGCCAGTCTAGCTTTCTTTTGACTAACGTTGACATGGTTTATCTTTTTCCCTCCTGTTACTTTTAACCTATATTTGTCTTTATATTTAAAGTGTGTTTCTTATAGACAGCATATACTTTGCACCCTGTTTTTTGTCCAGTATGAGAAGCTCTCCTCTTTATTTGGACTGTTTGGATTGTTTACATTTAATGTAGTTATTGATATGGTTATATTTGAGTTCATCAACTTGGTATTTATTTTCTGTTTGTCCCATCTGTTTTTTTTTTTTTCTTTTTCTGCTTTTTTTTGGTTTGAGTTAATAATGTTGTTTGATCTCCTTTCTTGGTTTACTAGCTATTACTCTGATGTGCTAAGTTAATGATTATTGTGAGTTTATAGTATACATTTTTAATCAGTCTGCCTTTAAGTGATTTTATATGATTTCATATATATTATTATTTTTTATTTCATATATATTATAAAAAACTTAAAATAGTAGATTTCCATTTCTGCTCTTTCCTTTATGTCATCATTGTCATGTATTTTACTTTTATATATGTAATAAACCAATAAACATTGTTTTTTATATCAGTTATCTTTTAAGGAGATTTAAATACTTTTTAAAAACTTACATGTTTTCCCAAATAGTTACTATGTGATGCTCATCTTTCCTTTGTGTAGATCCAGATTTCTAACTGGTATAATTTTCCTTCTGCTGAAAAAGCATTCTTTAACATATTTCATAGTGTGGGTCTGTCTGCTACTGATGAATTCTTCAGCTTTTGTATGTCTGCAAACATCTTTATTTAATCTTCATTTTTGAAAGTTTCTTTTTTGCCAGCTCTAGAACTCTAGGTTGATAGTACTTTAAAGATGTTGATTACCTTTTTTCTGACTTGCCATCTTTCCGATGAGAAATCTGATGTCATCATTATCTTTATTCCTCTGTATGTATATGATTTTCCTCTGACTACTTTCAAGATTTAGGATTAGCAACAACAATTCTGTATAATTTGATTATGATGTGTTTTAATGTAATTTACTCCATGATTCCTGTATCTGAGATTCATTGAACTTCTTGGTTTATAGTCTTCAAGTTTTAAAAGTGTTAGGCCATTATTTCTTGAAACAAAAAATATTTTACACCCCCTTACCCCCAACCCATTGGAGTCCTTTGGAGACTTCTATCTCATAAGTTAAGCTGCTTGAAATTCACAACTCATTGGTGCTTTTTAAATTTTCTTTTGTTTTCTATGTATGTTTCAGTTTGAATTGTTTCCATTGTTATGCCTTCTAATTTAGTAATTGTTTCTTCTTCAATGTCTAATCTGCTATTAATCCCAGCTAGTATATAGTTTTTATCGTTAGATGTCATTTTCCTCTCTAAAACTTCAATTTGGGTCTTTTTTATATCTTCCATATTTTTACATAACTTTTTGAACATATGAAATTTATTCATAATAACTGTCCTTCTCTGCTAATTTTAACGTCTGTATTAGTTCTGGGTAAATTTCAAATGATTGATTATTCCCCTCATTTTGAGTTTTGTTTTCCTGTTACTTTGCATGCCTGGTAGTTTTTGATTGTATGCCAGACATTTTGAATTTTGCCTTGTTGGGTGCTGGATAGTTTTATTTTCCTATAACATATTCTTGAATTTTGTTCCAGGATTAACTGACTGACTTTTTAACAGTCTGATCCTATTTGATCTTACTTTTGTGATGTGTTAGGAGGATCCAGAGTATGCCGAGGCTAGGGCTAATTATTCTGTACTACTGAAACAAGACCTTCCTGAGTACTCAATGCCTTGTGAAAGAGTTTTCTCAGACTGGATGGTGAAAATAGGCACTATTCCTGGCCCTTTGTGAGTGTCAGGAGCTTTAATCTTTTTAATAGCTCGTTTTCTGCCTTCAAATAGTTTTCTCACAGTCGTGCTCTGACCAGTACTCTGCTGAATGGGTGCTATGCCCTGCAGCTCTCTGGATTCTCTTCGTGTACAGTTCTCTTCTCTCAAGTTCTCTGTCCTGGGACTCGCCTTGATCTCCGTAGATTCCCAACTCCATCTCTTCAACTCCATGAGTCCACTGGGCTCTACTTCAATACTATATCACTGTGCCACAGCCTGGAAACTCTCAAGGCAGTATCTCCTCTTGTTTGTTATCCACCTCTAAAGGTCACTGTTTTTTGTTACCTAATGTCTAGTATCTTGAAAAGTATTGCTTCCTGTTGTATTTTTTCAGTTGTTTTAGAATGGAAAGTAAGTCTGGCCCCTTTTATTTTGTCTTGGTCAGAAGTAGGAGTCCTCATCAGTTTTTCACTGTACAGATTTAAGAATGAGAAATTTGTCTTTTATACTTACCAAAGATCCTGATGCTAGGAAAGATTGAAGGCAAAAGGAAAAGAGGGTGGCAGAGAATGAGATAGTTAGATAGCATCACCAACTCAATGGACATGAGTTTGAGCAAATTCCGGGAGACAGTGGAGGAGAGAAAAGCCTGGTGTGCTATAGTCCGTGGAATTGCAAAGATTTGGACAGGACTTAGCAACTGAACAACAACAACAATGTATTTCTCATACTACTTAAAAAAAAAATTTCTCTTAGTGTAGGTTTGGCAATGAATTTTCATTTAGGTTTTGTCTGTGTGAAAATGTCTTTATTTCATTTTCAAAAGATAAATTTTTTGGTCACTATTGAAGTCCAAGTGGACATTTTTTCTGTTTTGTTTTTTGGTTATAATTTTCATAAATTGGAATAATTTTTGCCATTATTTCTTCAGATATGTTTTTCTGTATCCTTTCTTATATCCTTTCTTTTTGAGAACCTGATTACAAGTATATTAGATTGCTTGAAATTATCACACAGGTCACGTGACAGAATACACTACTGGCTTTTTGGCAGTTTTTTTTTCTTTCCATGTTTTGGCTTGAATGTTTTCTACTACTGTTTTTTCATTTTTCATTTTATATATAGATATATTTACTATAATTATATACATATAGTATAATATATATATTCTTTCTGGAAGTTACATTTAGGTCATTTTTATATTGTCTTTTTTCTTTCTCCTCAGGCTTATATTTTTCTTTCATTCTGTAATATATATATAACATTTATAATAGCCGTTTTAAATCCTTATCTATTGGTTCTATTATCCCTGTCATTTCTGGATCTATTTTTATTGATTGACTTTTCTCCCAGTTAAGGATCGTATTTTCCTGACTCTTTATATGTCTGGTAATTTTTCACTGGTTGTAGCTATTGTGAAATTTAATTCACTTTGTTGATTACTAGATTTTATTGTTTTCCTTTTAAGAGTCTTGGACTTTGTCTGGGTATTCAGTTAACCTACTCACAGATCAGGTTGTTCCATTCAAAGCTTACTTATAGGCATACTTCATTTTATTCACTTCACAAATACTGTGTTATTTTCCAAATTGAAGATTTGCGGCAAGTCTGTTGGCACCATTTTTCTAACATTATTAGCTCACTTTGTGTTTCTGTGTCACAGTTTGATTATTCTTGTAACATTTCAAACTTTTTCATTATTGTTATACTTGATATGGTGATCTCTGATCAGTGATGTTTGATGTTACTACTGTAACTCGTTCAAGGGCTCAGATGATAGTTAGAGTCTTTTAGCAATAAAGTATTTAATAATCAAGGTATGTACAGTGTGTTTTTTTTTTAGCATAATGCTATTGCATACTTGTTAGACTACAATATATATAGTATAAACATAACTTGTGTGTGTACTGGAAACTAAGAAGTTTTGTGTGGTTCCCTTGATTGCAGTATTCATTTTTTTGTGATTGTCAGAAGCCAAACTCATAATCTCCAGGGTATGCCTATATTTGCTTTGTTAGAGTAGCTTCAGATCAGCCTTTCCCCTACTGCTTAACCCTAATTACCTCACTATACTCAAATGTTTTGTTTAGATGAGATCCCTTCACTCTGGTTGGTAAGAATGTAAACTATTCCTAAACCTGTGTGACTTTGGGATTTGTTCATGTATTGCTTTCTGGTGGTTCTTTCCCTAGATTCATGGGGTTTCATTTCATATCAGTAGTCAGCCAAAGATTTTAGGGGATCCCTCTGCAGATGTCTTTTTCTTGGGAAATTTTTCCTTTTCATTGCTCTGTTCTATAGATTTTTGCTGCCTTAGCCACCCTACACACCGATCCTTATCTCTTCAACTCAGCAAAACTGTCAGATTCTCTTTAGATTCCTCTTTATGTGCACAGCAATCTAGAAACTGCCCTATTTGAATATCTTTTCTCGTATCTATACAGGGATCACATTCCCTGTATAGCTAGTTGTCCATTCTCTCATATATTTTGGCTGGTTTCCCAGTAACTTGTTTATTGCAACAAAGAATGGCCCATAATTCTTTTGATACTTTGTTCCAGATGTTTCTTGTTGTGTTTTAATGATGCTGTCTTTGCATTTTCGTGTGTGTCTGTGTGTTTTAAACTTCTTAAATCAGGTACTATCTTGTAGTTATATTGCATGAGATTCTTGGGGGAGTCTAACTCACTACTGTGTACTTGATGATTCTTACTCATTATGGATTATTTTCATTGTGAATTGTAATTTAGCATTTTCTGTGGGGCTTTGAGTTCAAGATGTGTCCTTCTCAGAGGGTCTTTGTATTTCTTTCTACCAAGCTTGGAGGAAATAGAGAACCACCTTTCTTTGTTTATTTATTTTGACCACACCACACAGCTTGTGGGATTTTAGTTCCCCAGCCAGGGATTGAACCCAGGCCCTTTGGAGTGAAAGCACAGAGTCCTAGCCACTCGACTGCCAGGGAATTCCCTTATTTGCTTATTTTAAAAGGGATATATTCTTTTCCTTTTTTGTCTCTGTAAAATGGTACATGCTATGTAAAAAATATGAATATGGAAGAATATAAAAAATAAATGTGAGATGCCTTTTCTTGTTTCAATATGTGAGATTAGAGAGGGGCATAGGAGACTTTGATTAATCATTTATGGTGATGGAAAAATACAGGATTATATACATTTCATGTAGCAGGTAAAGTTATACCTGTCTCTTCTGTCTTCCCTCTTTTCAGCGGTTGGAAAAGAGAACTTAGTCTTTACAGAGGATGCATTTGGACGTGATACTTTTCATTTTCACTTGTCACAGAATGACTTAAGCTAGGGAGTGGATAGTTTCTTAACAATGAAAAGGCCAGGGTTTTTGGCTCCTAAGAATTGGAATCAGTGTGTTAGGAAAAGAATTATGATTTCGTAGTAGATCAGATGAAGTTTTGAGAAAGAGGATTAATCTTCACAATAGTGAGGTAAGTTGGGTCTTATAATGTTTTGGAGAAAATCAAGCACAGCCTAAACTGTAAACCCCTCAATTGTTTCCATGTGAATAGAGGTCTTCCTTATATACTGCCTAGGCAAGCCATCATATCCCAACTCCAGATAAAACACCTACCTTCCACAGGCCAGCAGGCAAATTTTGACATTCAGTGGAGGTCCTAGGCTATGAAGTTTTTAAGACAGGATCACTATATTGCTCATGTAAATGAATGCTTTCCTGTCTTCATCTTACTTAGGCTCTCCGCATTACTTAGAACTACTAATCCTTTCACCCTTTTAAAAAAAAAAAACTTGCTTGTTGTTGGCTATACTGGGTCTTCACTGTTGCGTGGGCTTTGTGGTGAGCAGGGGCTGCTCTCTAGTTGCAGTGCACTTGCTTCTCATTGCAGTGTCTTCTCGTTGCAGAGCATGTGCTCTAGAGAGTGTGGGCTTCAGTATTTGCAGCACACAGGCTCAGTAATTGTGGCTCACGGGCTCTAGAGTGTAGGGCTCAGTAGCTGTGGGGCACAGGCTTAGTTGCCCCATGGCACGTGGAATCTCCCTGGACCAGGGATGGAACCCGTGTTCCCTGCATTGGCAGGTGGATTCTTAACCCCTGGGTCACCAGGGAAGTACTCCTTTCATCCTTTAGATGTACTCACCTATCTCTGCTTTCTAGATACCAAACTTTCCCCTTACCTCTCCTATTGTTTTCCTCCTACCTCTCTTATGGTTGCTCTCAGGCTGGAGTTTCTCCAGACCACACAGATGGTGTCAATTTAAACTACAGTCTTGCTTGAGGGCAAGCCCCTGTTTATAAATTCCTTATGTATATAAAGGAAGACTTTTCCTTTTAGGCCAGAGCCCAGATCACAGTAGGCTTCTTTCTTGTGTCTCTTTGTCAGGCCACCCTTTTATTAAGGTGTAATGCTTTGAAATTCTTGCATTGTATGCAAAGTCTTAGTATCTCTGGTCCTTACTTCTGACCTTGCATGGCTGTTAAACCCAGTTCTCTTGCACCGTGCGCACCCCCCACTGCTGTGAGTCAGAGATAGCCTGTTAGGCTCTAGTTTGATTTCCTGTTTACATTTTATCCCAGGTAAAAAAGTTACATATTTAAAGTTTATTTGCTATTTTTCACCCAGCACAACTAGATATTGTACAGCAGGAAATTTTTAGGTTATCTAGTTCACTATTTCACTTGAAAAGAAACTACTATTTCTTTTATTTTATTGTTTGGGGTGGAGAGGAATAAAATCACCTATAATCCCACAGTGCTAACATAGCAACAGTCTTCACCTTTTCTCCATACATGATTTAAATCATTGCAGTGTCATTTAGCTGTTTACTATACATATTACTTTAATTTTTATATTTTTTTTCCCCAGAACAATATAGCTGAAGTACAAGAATTGCATTCTGAATTAATGTGGAAGGATTTTATAGACCACATCAGTAGTCTTCTACATAGTGTTGAAGTGGAAGTCAGTTACTTTGCAGCTGGAATTATTGCCCACTTAATATCTAGAGGTGAACAAGCTTGGACATTGAGTCGCAGCCAGAGGAATTCTCTTTTGGATGATCTGGTAGGGTAACTTGCTGTTTCCTGGAAGAATACAAACAACATTAATAATGATTAAACTATCAAAGCCTCATCATACAATACTAAATAAATACTGTAATCCTTTCTTGTGTGTCTTGTGTCTTTCAGCATTCAGCTATTTTGAAATGGCCAACTCCAGAGTGTGAGATGGTAGCATACAGGTAATTAGCAAGATAATTAATATTAAGCCAGTAACCTAGTCATGTTGCTTGCCTAGAGGTCATTCCTGTTAGATGTATGATTGTTTTCCCTTAGGCATCTATGTTTTTACTTTATTTTGCTACCTATCATTCATCAGTCCTTCTTTCGTGTTCATTGAAGACAGATGCCAAAGTCTTGTTCTGTCCTCTTGAAATTCAAAGATGAATAAGATATGGTGCCTCCAAACAAGAACTTTACAGCCTAGTGAGGGAAACCAAATGTAAATCAGATATAATTCACTCTTATGCTAATTTCATAGAATGCTCTAAAATCAAAGATGAAGATACTTTTTTTTAAAAAGATGACAGTACTTAAATCTGCACTGGAAAATAATGAAAAACTTCCAGAGGAAGTAGATTGTGAGCTGAGTTTTAAGTAGGGATAAGATTTTAGGAAGAATGTTAATGCAAGGAGGTGTAAAACAAGACAACACATTTAAAGAACTAGAAGCAGCACCTGATGTGTTTAGGGAAGCAGTTTGTAATTATTAAAGTGCATACTGGATTCTAACTTTATTTATGACAAGTGATTTAATAGATAAGTTACTAACATACCTGAAGTATACCAGATTGCTGCATAAATATTATCATTACAGTTTATTTTGTTGTCTACTTTATAAATGCTGATGCTGCCAGTACTTTTTATTCCAATATGTTTAACACATTTTTGGGCAGAAGACTAGTAGAAATAGGCTAAATTCTGGACCTCCTTCATGGTGTTCTATTGGTTAGTTATCAACTAACTTCTTTTCTAGGTTTCCAAACCAAGGTCTACTGTTCTTCAGAATGTGTATCTTCAAGACCAAAAGGTGCTTTTGAGAAAAAGTACATTGTCCTGATCACCTTCTATCTTCTGCACCAACACTTTTGTTTGAATATAATCCTTTATCAGATGGCTAAGACAAAGAAACGATGCTCTATAGAGGGTCATTTATATTAGTTTAAAAATAGAAGGATGAAATTTCTGGAGTGAAAAGCTCAGGAATCATTGCTACAGAAAATGACACAAAGTATAGGATGTAATTTTTATTCTTTTCTTTTGAACTTTCAGGTCCTTTAATCCATTTTTCCCGTTACTTGGCTGTTTCACAACACCTGGAGTCCAGCTATGGGCAGTTTGGGCCATGCAACATGTCTGCAGCAAGAATCGTATGTACCAAAATAGAACTGTGTTTGAATGTAATTCTTGTCCTTCAACTCTATTGTTCTGGGAAAAAAAGAAGCTTAAAATTAAAATAATATGTATATTCAGTGTTTAGGACATTGTTGCCAGCACCCATAATGTGTGGAGAAGTAAAGTATTTAAATCAGGTTTCATGTCATTTTTTATTTTTCATATGATTCTTTTTTGAAGGCTGTGATGTGATGTAACTCTTTTGTCAGTATTTATTAACATAAACTCATTCCATAGGTGATTTTAAATATTAAAAAGAAGCACATAAATATACCTTAATAGTAAAGTATAAATTATATTTTCTTAAATTAAAAATCAGAACCAAGGAAAAATAATTTGAAAAAATTAAAAGATAGAGGGAAGATAGTAGAATTTAGATATGTAGGCCATTCATAGTAATTGATATACTCTCTGTGACTGGGCTGCAAGTAATCAGCTACATGATTCTCTTTCTATATATAAGAGGGAAGAACATTATATATCCGCAAAGGGCTATAAAGCTTTTCTGTACAATTAACTGCAAGTTAAATTTCTTTTATAGAGCCTTAATAGGGGCTCTGTTATACATGGCCTTATATAAGAATGTGAGAGTCGTTTTTTTAACAATAGTTTTTTAGCAAGTAGCTGTACTGTTTTGTTATATTCTTTCTTGTTGCATTCTTTGATGAACACATATCACAAAAAGAGAACTCAACAAAAGTTCTTCTTTGTCAGGTGGATGGAGGGAAGATGGTTTAGGGAATGGGAAGCGACAGAGAAAACCACCTTGTACCCGCCTAAACCTCCACCTGGAAGCTTTTCTGCCTCCTCCCACTAAATTCCTGGAGCAGAGTTGCTCATTCATAAACATAAGACTGCCTCATTAGCTGCACTAAACTGCCTCTGCTATAAATTTTTTTTTCCTTTTTCTGTACCTTTAGGTTCTGAAAACTCTCAGTATTTTTTTTTTTTTTTAAACAGTCTATCCAATTTTATACCCAGCCTCTAATCTCCAGGCTTCTTTCCTCATTACTTTTCATAGACTCACAGGAGAAAATAAAACATAATGAATAAATAATAGTGCATTTTCATTTAACTGGTGCCATTTTTGTGACTACTCTTAGGTGTTGGTGTTTTTTCAGGTTTACTCTGTGAAATGAGTACCCTGAAGAATTTATTCTATAATGCACTGTAATTTGGAGATTGTTAGATTATTTTATCTCCAACTCAGGTAGTTCAGGTTCCTATTTTCTTGCTGCCCTGTTTATATTTAAATGGAATTTACTTCTCAGTTTGCACTAGAAAGTTTTAATGCACTAAAAAGCTTATAGCTTTTAAAAATTAAGAGTTAGTGTAGCATAGTGATTAAGAGCACACAAGATTATTAATACCTGGATTCAAATCATGTTTCACCACTTACCATGTATGCCATCTTGAGCAAATTATTAAATCTAGGACTTCAGTTTCCACATTTGTTAAATGGAAATAATAATAGTACCTGTTTCACATTATAATGAGCATGGGAAATTTTTGGCAACATGATTTACAATGATCACTTAATCTTTATTTTATGGTGTATTAGTTTCCTAAGGCAAATGTAACTAAGTACCAAAAATGGGCGGCTTAAAATAACAGGAACATTTTGTTACTCCATTCTGGAGGCTTAGAAGTCTAAGGTGTGAGTAGGGCCATGCTTTCTCTGGCAGCTCCAGGGGAGAACCCTTCCTTGCCTCTTCCAGCTTCTGCTGTTTGCTGCTCCGTGTATCTTCATGTCATCTCTTCTGTGTGTGTGTGTGTGTCTGTTTCTGTGTCCAGATCTCTCCTTTTTTCATAAGAACATCAGTCACAGTGGATTAGGGCCCACCCCAATGGTATCACGTAACTTCACTAATTATATCAGCCTACACCCCTGTTTCCACATAAAGTCTCATTCTGAAGTACCGGGCCTTAGGGGGTGTTAGGACTTTAACCTATCTTTTGAGAGGGATACAATTTAACCCATAACATATGGCTATAAATTCATTAAACTTGTGTAGCTACATCCCTATTGATGAACATTTAGGTAGTCTACCTTTTAATTTAAAAATTATACTCAAATGCTTGTTTTTACAGAGATATTTATTGCATCATTATTTATAATAGGAAGTAACTCTAAGTAGCCTAGAGGTCCAGCAATAGGGGAATGTAAAACAATGTTGAAAGATCCACACAGTGGAATTATAAGTGAAGAAGACATGATAGAAAAGTTTATAAGCAGAAACTTATATTCTGGGTCAGGACAGAGTAACTGGTACCAGAGTAGCTCACCAACCATAAACAATAGAAAAATGTGGGGGAAATTTGAAACAGTTTGTTCTAGACCTTTAGACAAAAAATTGCAAGGATCCTGGTCCTTGAAAGGAGGGAATAAATGAGAGGGCTTTGTCACCTGGTTCCTCTTGGCCATGCCTCCTCCAGGGGCTTGAGGAACATGGTGGAGACTGGAACAAAGGGACTGAGAACAGCCACAACCTGGCGGGGGTGAGGGGTGCTCCTAGTGGCCCAGGGAAAGAAGGAAGCTGGCTTGCTGTAAGAATCACAGATCCATGAGAGGACGCCAGCCTTTTCTAGTCAACATAGCTTTGCCCAAAGCCCAAAGAAAGCCTGTTTCTTAGCCCAAAGAAACGTCTCCCCTGGCCACAGAGCAGAGCAGACAGCCTTCTACCTCCTGGAGGAGATGGACCCAGGGCAGGCAGGGAGGGCTGTTGCAGGAGAGAACGAAAGTAGTTGTTTCTTGAATGAATAAGAGTATGTCCAGGGAGGTGGTGTTGAAGATGCCCACAGTGGCCAGTATGGGGAGTCTGGGAGGCCAGGACCCCTCAGAGGGGTCCTGCCATAGGGCCAGTCTCCACTTGGCCCTGTGGGCATGGGCAGGGCTGCCCTAAATGTCGTGCCAGGCACAGACACCCTTAGGGAAGATTTCAGTGGGTCCAGGGATGAGGCCTGGTACATTGATTAGAAGAGGGCAGCCTGAGGGGGTGTTGGCAGAGACCTATCAGGATTGTAATCAGGGTTCCCAAGGTGAAGAGATGCTGGACCACCCCAAACTAGGAGAAGCCTGTTTTGGCAACCCTGAGTCCACCCTTGGTGGGCAGCTCACCGCTCATATACACGGACATGTGAATGGGCCTGCATAGATACACAGGGCATGTACTCGAGTAGATAACCGCACACTGATGTGGCCTGCCCCAGCCCACACGCAGCACCACCCTTGGACTCCGGAGTTCCCTCTCAGAGACCTGCCTCCAGTGTGCTTACATCTGAGGGTCTCCCCAGCAGGGCACAGGCAGGGTGACTGGACTGCTATGGGCCCTTGGGGGGGTGCAAGGAGGTCGGGGAGGCATGGGGAAGTGGGTGGGGAGGCAGGCCCGGCTGCATTTCCAGTGGCCCCGCTGTTTGCCATCAGATCACACTGTGTGCTGAGAGTCAAGCATGCAACAAGCTCTACAGACTCCCTGCCTTTCTTCCTGGAGGCATTTACTGGAGTAGCATAGGGGAATCACATAAAGCTCAGCAATTTCAGTGGATGGAGGAGACAGAAATCAGAGTGCAGCAAGACTGAGATGCCTGAGGTTTGAGGGCAGAACAATGCAGTTACATCTAGAAAGAACTCCAGAAATCTTCATAGGAGTTTCTTGAGTCTTAGGCTGAATACTAAGCTGTACATGCCTAGGGTGAGACTCCTTGAGGCCAAATACCAAAGAGCTGCTAACTGAACAACATGAGCTTACACAGGGTTGGAAAATATTTAAATTCTAAACAGTGGAAAGAACATAATACCTAGGGCTTTCACTGCAGATGCCAGAAGAACCAGAAGAGATTAACCCTAAATTAAAGGCTTCTCTAAAGCAACCCTACAAAGCTTAGAAAACAAGTCTTGAAATGATCAAGCTGCTCTGCAAAAACTGTCTGCCAGAGAAAAACAAAGCACTCTTTTAAAAAAGACAACAAAGTCTACACCCAACAATATGTTCAGTTATATGATGGGTTGATAGATGAGAAAAGCAGCAGAAAAATATGATCTATAACCAAGGGAAAAATCAGACAGTTGAAACAAACCCAGAAATGATAGTGATGATGGAGTTAGTAGGGGAAAATTAAAAACATTTTTTATAGATATGATTCAAGATTTTAAAGAAAATTTGAATACTAAGAGGAGGAAAAGTGAAGTATAAAAAATAAATAAAAATTTAATATGAAAAATATCTGAGTGAGCTTAAGAGGAGATACACAGAAGAAAAAAGGTCAGTGAAATTGAACACAGCAATAGAGAATATCCAAACTCAAAGAAAGCTGGTTGAAAAAACAAAAAGGAACACCAGAAGTATCCTGATGTAAATACCAGGCAAAGACATAAGAAAAGAAAATTACTGAATAGTATATCTCATGAGCACAGATGAGGATATTCTTTAAAAAAAATGTGAACAAACAGAACCTAACAGTGTATGAAAGGGACCAAGGAGGTTACTCCAAGAATACAAAGTTGGTTTAAGATTTGAAAATCAGTATGTTTCTTCCTATTACCAGGCCAGGAAAGAAAAGCAATCTAATCATCTCTATAGATCCAGAAAGGCAGACCATTGGCCACTGCCTATGAAAGCAGGGAGTTTTACTGCTGTTCAATTTTTCTATCCTTGCTGGGAAAACAATTTGCAGTTCATTCCACAGAGGTGTTTTGGATTTTACCTTTTTCAGTCAGAGTGATGACCTTCCAAACAGAATGTTGTCTGTTTACCTTGGAGTTGCTGTCCGCAAACCGGGCAGCTCTTTGTTGGTTAGTGGAGAGCGGCTTATGTGCCACTGTCCAAGTGACAATAGAATTTGGCAGCTCCTTGTGCAGTTCCAAAGTCAGTACTAGTGAGAAAGAGGCTCCCTTCTCATGAGTATCCCCTCCTTACATTCTCCAGGAACATGACCCTATGTAAGCCAATTCCATTGTATTATTTAACTCTTCTGG